AATTATATTTCAAAACTAACATATTTATGATATTCAAATAATTATCAAATTATAAATTAAAATTTCAACACAAATTCTTTTATTGTTGATGTTGTTTTTATTTGGGGTTCAAGAATTTATAGAAATACAGACTTATACAGTGTAAAAAAATTAATATTTGTAGTATATTTTTGTATCAAAGTTTTATTTATTGCCATTTTATGTTACCTATTAATTAATCAAAATTTTAACCTTTACAACCTTACAATGATAAAATGCAATTTAATATTTTGATAGTATTGATTATTATAGATAATATAATAATTTTAAAATATAAATTAATGACAAAAATAATTTATAAATTTTAAGATTTTTTCTTTTTATTTTTCCAAAGGTATATTAAAAAAAACAATTTTCTTCGAGACACAAATCACAAATGTATCTCTTCTAGCTGGATTTGGTCATTACCTCGTGGACCTGTTTCTTCCACTAAACCTAACTATTGTTGGTTAAACTGAGTTATTAATTTTGCTAAAAGAATTATAATTTATCAGTATAATTGATAACAAATAATTATAATTCACGTATTGCATGTGACGAAGTTAGACTAGACCGAAGCCAAACTTTGTCAGAAATCAACCAGAAAATACGCTTATTAAAACACTAAGTACCCGTATTAGCTAGGTGTCATTATTTATGATACGATTAAAACTAAGATAGGGCTTCTTCGGTGGCAGAAGGTTCTTTAACTTCCCGTCGACGGAGAGGAAGAATTTAGGTGAAAAGTGTAGCAAAGAGATGAAGTTGACAATGTTTTATGGTTGACAGTAGGGCAGAAGATAGTTTTGCCGCAGACCTAGTTTTCGAAACCCAGAACCATGCATGTAATGCCATATTCAATTATTCAACACCCTTCTGTGTAGTTATTTAACTGGTCCTCACTCGTATTATATTTTTTCCTTTGGTAAAGATTATAGTTTGTGATGACAGGTACGTCGATCATGATGACAATTGAATTTCAAGTTATTTCCTGAATTACAATGCTAAGCACTCACCGATCGAGGAGATCCTAATAGCCTCAACCCAAACACATGCAATTACTGTAAACGTTGTCAACAGCACACACGTGATTTTTATTTATTTTTTTGCAAATATTTGTGTTATTTCATTTTGAATTCAAGTGAAATATAAACATCAAGAAGCCCAATAATTTTACAGGCGTTCGGAAGGGCTTTTTAACTAGTTTCTTACTTAATTATTTGTCTAGTTTAAAATTTTATTTAATGTATTTAATAAACGAGCTCATTTTAGAACAATTTTGATAAGATAAATAAGTTTATTTTTCTTACTAAATTACACCTGTTCAATAAAGAAGTTTATTTTAAAAATTTATAATGTTTTGTAGTATTCTTAAAAATAATAATCCAATTAATATTTGATTTTCTAAACTTCTAAGTTTTTTTTAACCCTTAATATCTTATTATAATTGCTTCCTTATCCTTTTTAACTTCATAAAACCTTAGTACACATGCTCTCTGTCACATTTATTTTATTATTTCTTATAAAATAAAATTATCAAAGTTATAATACAAATTCATTTGTTATTTTATTTAATTAAAAAAATATTATCGTGAACTTGAGGTGGTAATAATTTATATATATATATATATATATATATATATATATTAGTTTACTAGATAATTTTATTAAATACTTACTATTCAAGTACTCAATTTCTCTGCTCGCAAGTATATTCTAAGTTTTTAAATAACACATCCGATAGTTAAAAATAATTTTTTATAAAAAAAGAGTATTTGGTATATTTTTTATACTTTAATATAATAAATGTTTTTAAATAATTTGTGTTGTTGCTTGACTTCAATTGTTAGGATTAAAATTAGCATTTTTTAATATAATGTGAATTTATTGATTAACTTGTGTCCTGTGCATACATTAAGAAATAAAAATACAAAGTAAAAACTAAAAACATCTAACAATATATAATACAATTACGAAATTTTTATTATATTCCTAGAATTGAAAATAAGTAATTTAATTAAAATTTTGATGATACCCTAATGAGACAACCTATTTTTTTTGCACATAAATGTTTTTTTATTAGTATAATAACAAAAAGGTAGCGAGATTATGGGAAACAAATTAGTAGTTAGAAAAGTGAGCAGTTGTGTAATTGAGTGTTATGATTTGGGAAAAATGAGTTGTAATGGAAGGATTAGTTTGTCAAAGAGAACAAATTTAGGCAAAAATTGAGTGACAAGTAGAAGGGTCTGGGTCTTGGTCTTGGCCTTGCCATATACCTTTGTCCTCTTTTCCTGACTCGAATAGTACAACCAGTAACAACTTTTATGTCAGTTTCTAGCTACCAACAGGGCCTAATATCTCACCCTCTTAAACCCCTATATATCAGACAAGTCCATGTGATGTTTAAATTCTTGGTTTTTTCACCCACAAACCACAACATAAGTAACGCAAGATAAATAAGCAAATGCATCCACACTTGCATAATCAGCCATGCTGAAAAGGAAACTAGTTGCCAAGGAATAGCCTAAAAAACCAAAGTAGGAGGAACAACTTCTGAGCGCCGCCAGTGTAATCATTCAAAATGATAATCACAAGCCACCCCAGCACTTCACCTCCAACTTCTCATGAAATTTTATTTAAAATGGTATACTAATAACAGCTAGCTGAAAAGCAGCTTTATCGCCTTTGGGCTTCAAAATCCGCGTCTTCTTTAGACGGGGTACATTTTATTTTTTCTTTAGCTTTTTTTTTTTTCAGTTTTACTTTTACTATGCTTGAGAATTTTCATGTAGTGGGAAGGAAAAAAAAATGTGACGAGAAGATCCTAAAACCTATAATTACTTATTCCAGTTTCATTAAAATCTCCAATCATAATAAACTTTTACACGACCCAAAAATGGCAATTCGATTCATTCCCTTCCCTCGCCCCAATTTCTTGCTCTCTTGGAAATAGCTGAACGCAATCAATACTGCTGGAGTGCGCTGGCACAAACCACCGTAAGTCATAAATCAAATGGCCATCAAATAATACTAACAAATACAATTATTGTGATTTTTATATTAATCAAACAAGCATTATATCAATAGAAACAAACTAATAATTGAGATATATTTTCTTGGGAAATAACATTTTTTTAATAAAAATAAAACATTCTCTAAATAACTTAATAAAATATGTTAAACTCTTGTGAACTAAGAGTTAATTTAATTGAGCCAATCTTCAAGAATATAGATATGCTTGATAATTTCGATTATTTGATGATTTGAGGATTTAGTAGTGAATATTTTGATTGAGTTGATTCAACGAGGGAAAGGATGGCATAAGTGGGGTTGGGCGATTGTGGCCTCTCAAAAGTCTTCGGATGGTGGTCCGGCAGCACTAGGCCTAGTTAAGATAGATGTGCGTAAAGTTCATTGGGTATAAAGGTTAGTAATGTTTCTTTGAAAAATAAGATATCTAAGAAGGCTATATTCGTGCCTGCTGCATAGAACACTGTTAGAAAGCAATGAAGTACAGACAAAAAAAGAAAATATCATCATGTCATGCATGCACATTATGCAGGGTTCCCCCAAAAAACTTGCAGTAAGTTATTGTACTCTAACAACTGATTACCTCTAAAACTAATAATAAAAACAATGAATATTAAACTTTTAGATAAGTTTAGTTTTCTTTTTGTCTTATTAACGACAATTTTTAAGAAATTAGTTGAGCGAATAAGAAATTTTAAAATTATATATTATAAACAAATAAAAATACATTGAAAATCATGACAATAATAATAACTGTTATTATAATACTTTCATACATCCACATCCCAAATTTTTTAGATAACCTATTGTACTTCACGAGATGACCGAGTAACGGGTTAAATGATATATATGTAAATAAAAAGTTTAATGATTTCAATATCCTGAGCTACGACTTTATTTTAATATAATAGGTACAGCTTAAACTACGATTCTCAATAATATACTCCTATTAAATTATTTGTAAAAACTGTTACATACTATAAAACACTGTAGTGCTCTAGTTTGATATCACTTAAATAAGCTCGAATTGTTGACATGAGTGAGTATTCTACATGGACAGATTAAACAACAGTGAGCCAAATATTAAAGGTTGCACCTTAACACGTCCTTACAAATAATGTTACCTATAATTAAATTGTGGTAATTTATAACAGCAAATGCAAAGATATAAAAGCACAATTTTTAAATGCTTATAAAACCAAAAAATAAATATATTAATAATTTAAAATTTTAATGCGTATTTATGCAATCAACACATTAAAGTAAATAGATTAAATATTTCATTGTTAGGGCTTAATACAAATAATATTAAATAGTAGTAATAACTATCGACAATTAAAAAAGAGAGAATGGATAAATTTTTTTTATCAGTTCACTCTTATATGAAATTTTTCTTTATTAGAAAAAAATATTTATTTACATATCCATTTCAACACAACATTAATTATTATCTTTTCACATATGTCGTTGTTGTTACGAAATATTCAATTTTTTTACAAACTCTTAGTAGTGTGTAAATTTTTTTACGAACTTATGTCATATTATGAACTGAAGTTTTTAAAAATGAAAATAAAAATGTAAAATATATTAAATATTTTTATTTAAAATAATTAAAATTATTTATTAAAAATTAATAAAACTATAAAAATAAATAATCTCCTTCCACACTTATCTTTCTTAATTACCAAAAAATGTTAAAAATAAGATTTGTCTAAGAGAATCGGTTGTTTTGTTTTTTCTCCTCTGATATCGAATATTGTGTTGGACATGCATGATTAAATCAGTCACTTTCCCAATATCCCTCCAAGAAGAAAAGATGAAACCAGCCAAATCTCGATGTTGCTGTGTGCAATAACTCTCCATTCCCTACGACACCTCTATAAATAAGACCAAAGCACCGAATTCAAGGCAGAATCACAAAAATCACCCTCTCACTTTCCCACAACAACATGGACGAAGCACTCAGGCGTCTCAACGGTTCCGCCCCGATTCCCGAACCCAACCCACAAGACCCATCGATCGCCGACAACCAGAAGCGTTGCACCGCCGCCAACAAGAGGACTTTACGCGAAAATAACCCCGCCGGAGCCATGAGGTACCGCGGCGTGAGGCGCAGGCCCTGGGGCCGTTACGCCGCCGAGATAAGGGACCCACAGTCGAAGGAGCGGCGCTGGCTCGGCACCTTCGACACGGCTGAGGAAGCGGCTTGCGCCTATGACTGCGCCGCCAGAGCTATGCGTGGGCTCAAGGCTCGCACGAACTTCGTGTACCCGACTTCCCCTCCTCACCCTTCTTCTGCCACCCAACACTTTTTCCCTTCCTTCAACTTCCCCAAACACGCTCAACAACCTTTCAACAAAATCAACCACCATAACCGCCAGTTGCCGGTTGCTGCCACTCACGGGATTGACCTCGCAGCACCCTACCACCGGAACAACCCTTCCTTCAACATGCTTCTCTTTCGTGACCTTATTAACTCTTCTTCCACCCCTTCTTTGGTTTCTCCTACTAACCAATTCTATGACCAATTCCCCTACAACAACGCTGGTTCTTCTATTTCCTCGTATTCTCCTTCAACACCTACGATTGGTTCTCTCCCAGGTTGTTGTTTGCTGAATCCTTGTGGTGGCAACAGTGTTAATGGTGTTTGTGGCTTTTCTTCCGGGAAGATGAACACTACTCCCACTTGTGGAATTAAAGGAACTGAAGTTGATGATGTTGGATCGGGGTTTTTTCCGAGAGAGTCTTCGGATTCGGGGTTGCTGGAAGAGATAGTTAATGGGTTCTTGCCGAAATCGAAGCCCAATAAATGTGAGGGTGCACTAAAAATGGAGACTTTTTGCAACCCCGAGGAGTTGCTTCCTCCGCTTGTATCTGATTGCACGCTCGTTTCCACCGCTCAGTGTTGTAACGAGACGAAGAAGGGACTTGCCAAGATCGATAGTTTTGGTTTTACTTCTGATCACCAAGGCTTTCCCATGCAAGAATTTGATAGTTTTAATGGGTTTAATACCGTGCAGGCTATGCCTCTTGGGAATGAACAAATCATGATGAATCATGCAGAGAACTCTTTCATTGAAGATATTTTTCAGTACCCAGAGCTTCTTAATGCTTTTGCAGTTAGGATGCAAAATGCGTAGTTTATGTGTAGCCAGTGTTGCTGACAAGTTCCAGTGTCTGTATCTCTTGCTTTATTGTGGCTCAATCTTAATTAGTTGTATATGTTTTGTTAAATCTGTAACGATGGTTGGATCTTTCAATCCAAAACTGATCTTTAGGGTTTTCTTGTTCCTTGGTTAAGCCAGGTTAGTTTGACGGAACTTGCCTCCTATATTATGTATGGATACATTGGAAAGCAATATATTTTAATAGTGGTTATTTGGATAATCTTGTACTTGTCAAGTTTATCAATGTTTTTGGTTAAGCACGCCTTTGTCCTTTTCACTACTTTATGCTTTTGTTTTTGTATTTCTACTCTGAGGACTGGAAAGTTGATGAAAAGGAGTTAATGAGAACGACAGACTCAGAGTAAAGTTAGTTCCTTGCTTCGTATTCAATTGCTAGATAATGATAGCTTCTGCGTTGACCTTGGAACTAGAAAAGTTTGTATCTGTCTGCATACCTTTTTTCAGCTTTGTATGGATCTATATATTCCTCCTTTTGTTCGGAGAACGTATGGGTCTGGTTTGCATAATGCCTGGTTGTGCTGTCGTTTTCTTCTTAGTGTTTGTTGCGTTTTGTTGTGGGATTGTGATTCATTATTTCAGGTAGGAAAAACCCTAGGGATAATGGGGTTTTGGAGCCTTCTGGGAAAAAGTGTAGCACTGAAGCTGCTCGTTCATCGATAAGGCAATAGATGCCAGGGTGAGGATTTCTAGTTACGCGACAAAACACCATGGAGATTATTAAAAAGCCCATAGACATGTACATACTACTTTGGTACCTTATTTGTTCCTCCGTTTAAATGCTTTCCAATGTTTGCAAATGGAGAAACATAATTCTTGACATTTGTGGGTAAATGTTTGAAGCTGCATAAATTGAAAATTAAACATTCATTATCCGACCCTTGAAAGAATTTATCAATAGCAATTCACAATGACTTTCAAATGATTTTTATAAAAAAAATATTTTAATATTTTTAATAATTTGTTAAAATAATGTTTAGTTTATTTATTTTAATTAGGCTATTTATCTAAACACACCTTGATTATACAAGTTTTCAACTTAGAATCTAAAAGAATTAATTGTTCTACCACCTTCGTGCCACGCCTTCAGTACTTAGGACCAAATTGTCTTGTAAACTTTGATCAAGGGGGACCAAAAATGACATTTAAAGCTAGTTGATGGGTCTCTTAACTCTTCAGCGAGAAAGCAGACAATTTTAATTGATTGGTTACAGGGTAATGGCTATTACGTTAATTGAATCACATTGCTGTAGTTGTTTGACTTGATTAAAATTACATAATTGAAATAAATAGGGTTTAGGACCACAATATATAATAGGAAAGTTGAAGTTGTGGGGTTTACTGGAAGATGAATTAACTAGCTGGTACAGAATATGTAAGACTTAGTTATTAGTCCCTTCTATCCTTTCGTAATATAAATAAATAATTCATCAAAATATAAAATAATAGTTATATCATAAATTTATGTTATATTTTAGAAATGATCATAAATGTATAAATTGTCAATTTAATTACTTATATGTTAAATCAATAAATATATCTAATAAATAAGTATTTTATTGATATAAATCTCATAATAATAAATAAGAGTATAAAAAAAACAATACTTAATATATATTTTAAAAATTATAAGTAAAATAAAAAACATTAATAGTTATTTTTTAAAAAAGAGAGAGAGAGAGTATTTAAATGAAGAAGGTTATGAAGTTCGGGTAATTTTGATTTTGATTGTCTTAAAGGAAGACAAGTCCGTCAGGTAATCTTTTGAATCGAACCAGTGAACAAAGTTGGGCAAATTAACATACTGGGAGGTGTTAAACTTCCTGTTTTTTGTCAAAAGATATTGTAGCCAAATAAGCTAAAAGATAATCTGATTATGTACCCTAAAAAGAAAGAGGTAAAAATCATAATTTCTTCCTTGAAAACTTTCTCTAACATTTCTCAAATTCGTTATCTTTTCCTTTGAGATAAGGTAATGTACGTGTTTAATTTAGTTTATTTTAAAAAAATAACTATTTCTTATAATCTCCAACCATGGGCTAGCTATTTGGGTTATGTGTTTGAAAGATATTAGTCGAGGAGCTTTTAATCTACAGGCGAGGAAAGTATTTGTTGATATCTGTGAAGTATATATCATCAGATTTCTTCTCCTAAAAGCTCATGAAATCATAATATCCACTAGTTTCTTGTATCATGAAATCACAATATTTAGCCTAAAGTGTGTAAGGGCTTATTTCACAATTTTGGAGTTCAATTAATTTTACAACAAAGTCAGTTGCAAATGTATTAAATTTTTTATTATTTAATACTATAAATTTTAATGTTATTCAAACAAAATATTTATTTCTAGCTATTGATAATTATACATCTAAAAGCCATTATTAACATACTGAAATAAAACTCTTTTTTTCTTTTCAAAATTACTTTCCAAATGAAGCTTTCAAATATATTATTTTTTTAACAATTTAAATAAAACAAAATTTACAAAACATTAATCTATATAAACGCATACTAAATAAACTTAGGGGGTCCTTAGTTGCAAGCATCTTTATCTCTTTCGGCATGTTGGTGAGATGGTATTCCTGGTTGTACTAACTTCCTTTTATTTCACATATATCTCATTTAAAATCTCGTTCCATGAAAATGTGATTTAAAATCAAAATTTTCATATTAATTATAATTGCATAATGGTAATTAATAATATGCAAAAATAAATAGGTTTGCCCTCACGGCCAAGGAGAAGTCTTTGTGTGTACTGTATAATAATTATATAATGTTAATAATGTGCAAATATCAATGCATTTACCCTCATTGACGAGAAGAAGTCTGTGTCCTGTATAATAATTGTATATCAAATATCAAAGGGGCCTCCACCTCACCAACTACGTACACAATGGGGGTTGTGGTGATGCCTTGGACCTTTCCTTCGTGCTCATGTAAGTCTTTTTTTACTTGTATAACTTATTTTTTTTTTAGTATTGAAGTGATTGATTCATCAATTATACAAAAATTAAATGTTAGTCAATTTTAGCCGAGTCTTGGTGAGTTCCTTAAAAATTTGTAGACATCATGCGTGAATTATTTTTATATCGGTAATGCATGGACAGGTCTGCCATGTGTATTTTTCTTTGTCCTTCTTGATTTTTATATGCTCTTAAGATAATTTTGTTTTTATTGAGACGTGAGGAGAGTTATAAACAGTAAATCAGCGTTAGATTTTTCTAATAACACATGCACTCTTTACAACAACAATAAACATGTGACATCATGTTTCTGGTAGAGCTGGTCCCTATGGATATGCTAGTTCTTCTGATTTATATAATAATTGTATAAGAAAGTGAAAATATCAATACATTTACGCTCGTGCATGAGGACATGGATAGGGTATTTATCCGCTATACGGGTACGGGTATGGGTGTGGGTAAAAATTCGTAAGTTTTAATGGGGATGGGTGCAGGTATGGGTATCTAAGTACCCACCCCGCCCTATACCCGCATATATATATATATATATATATATATATATATATATATATATATATATATATATATATATATATATATATATATACTTGAACTTTATTCTACAATTATGCATTAAATTTTTGTATTATTATATTACTTATGTGAAGTTATATAAGATTAATATAAAAATATATTTAATAATAAAGTAAACCAAAAAATTTATTTTAGTTTATATTTTTAATAAAAAAATTTATTTACTATTTTATATCATTTAATTAGGCTAATACAATTTAATTATTACATAGTTATAAATAAGATTGACTTTTTTAAAAATATTATTTATATATGACACACATAAAATATTTTTGTTAATAAAATCATATTGATGTTTAAATCATAAAGTGAATAATAAATAATAAATATATTATAAATATTTTATAAATTTTACAATCACCTACTATTACCATAAACTTATTATTTATTAATAATATTTAAATTTTATTTTTATATTTTAATTTAAAATAATATTTTTCTATATAACATATGTATTACAAGCACAACTATAATTTATTAAATCTAAATAATATTATTCTTACTATTTATTCACATTCAAAGAAGTTTTTGAAAATATATAAATATAAAAAATTATTGTTAATTTTTATTTGTTAATTTTTTAAAGATAAAAAAGTATAATTTTTTTAATATACACGTATATTTCTTTATTATAAAATTTTATTGTAACTATTTATCTTTTATTCAAATTTTTTTTAAATTTATATACATTATAAATATTTAATTCACTAAAATAATTTTTTAAAAATTTATATTTTTGATAAAATACTTTCGTATAGTATATGAGTTAAAAAAATACTAGTATTAATATATATATATATATATATATTAATTATATTATATTATTTTAATTAAATCTATTATTTTTCTTACAATTTCAAATTCAAAAGTTAAAAAAATTATTTTATGTATCAACTTTCTCTTGTTAATATTGAACTTTTCTACTCTAACTCTATTCTCATTCTAAATGTCTGTCTCACTAAAACTTAATAACTATGAAATGTTATTCATTAGAATTAGTTGTTAATGTCGCCACAAGAAGTTACTAAGTGATCCCACACGAAGGAACAATCATTGTACAGATCTATTTCGTTGTCGTTCTGACATTACCAGCAATCAAATCTCACACAAGATAGGATTATCACTGACAAATAACTTGTGTGTTTAGTTTTGCTTATTGTTTCTAAGAATTTTAGTTTAAAAAATTATTATATTAAGATACATTTAACATTTATGATCTTTGAATATTTGTTTTTTATCTATATTTGTACCTTGTTCGGCAACTACATATTGAATTTTTGTATTATTATGCTACTTATGTGAAGTTATATAAACATATTTTTCTTTATAAATATTTTTTTCTCAAATAAACGCGGGTAATGGATACAAGACGGGTATGCAGGTACCCAGAGAGTACGG